TTTTTTCACTTAAGTAATAAGCAAAATTGCGAAATGTTTAAACAACTTAATGTATCTCTTGTGTTGAAATTTTAACTTTCAATAGTATTTCTACCATTATTTTTAAATAAAAAAAAAACAAAACCGACTTCCAAACAATACTCTAAAAACAAATATCCTCAAAAAACAATACGCTAACAAGTAACGCAATAATTCCTTAAATTACTTAAACCTCCGTTATTGTAGCTGTTACGTCTATATTGTACAATTATTATTACTTTAATGTCGGTGTTCATTTATAATCTACATTGAATTATCTTGATGATGGGTACATTTACCTGGATAAGGATTTATACCGAACGCGAATAATAGAGTTTTTAGTGGGGAATACAATTCAATATATGTTTTTTTTTTATGTGTGTTACGGCATAACTCCGCCGCTAGTGGACCGATTTTGTTTTCCTTTTTTATCCGAAAGGTAATGCTTGCAGGTGGGACCCATTTTTTTGATTGATTCTTGGAGTCTAAGACTACGACGTAGTTAAATAGTTTAGCTCAAAATCGCGCGACGAAATTTAAGGTCAGTTTTGCTTTCTTTGCTTACGTAGCCTAAACTATAAGACTTACATAAAATGATGTATGGAAGAATTGTAGTCCATTAAATTTGCTATATTAAAGTTCGCGATAGCATATATCTATCTCTTAAGGTTGTCTCACAATAGCCGTTTGTTTCGCGAAAACCGTTAAACAAATGCAATCGACGCTTTTATTCTTATTTGGTATAAATCCTTATCCAAATAAATATGTTTTCACGATAGAGTATTAAATGTAGATCATAATTGCCTTTAATAGTATGTAATTCCGAACAAGCTTCTAGAAGTTATCAAAATAATATTAAAACCCACGGGCAACAGCGGCGCGCGGCTGGATAGTATTATGAGTATGAGTGAATGATGACTGAACGATGTAACTCATTGTTCTTTACTTAATTTTTTAGATAATCGATTTAGATGACTCATTCTTTGTCAATAAACAAAGTGGTTATTGTGCGACAACCTTAATAGATAGATATAGGCTAGCGCGCAGTTCATTTTATCAATTTTCCTCACGCGATTTTGAGCTAAACTATTTAACTACGCCGCAGACTTTAATTCCAAAAATTAAACCAAAAAATGGGACCCACCTGCAAGCACTACTATTCGGATAAAAAAAAAACACTTTTCAAAATCCGTCTACCAGGGGCGGAGTTATGTCGTAACACACATAAAAAAACGTTAAGTAAGGAAGTTAAGAATTGAGTACCTCCTTCTTTTTTTTAGAAGTCGGTCAAAAAAGGAATATAATGACAATCTCACGCTTCAATATTGGTCGTGACCTGCCTCGGATTTATAATCCTGGTCAGTCTTTAACCGTAAATAATGATTCGGTTTGCAGGAGGCGAGAGGCGAGAAGTGCGGCGAGAGAGGCTCGGGCGGCGGCGCGCTGGAGGCGCTGCGCCGGCACTCGCGGCAGGTGGCCGCGCGCCGCGCGCGCCGTGTGCAGGTAACACTCCTCATCCTGACACCATTCACCGCCATCCATCATCTTTTTTAAAGCTGATATAAAATAACATTTTTAAATCCATATTCATTTTAAAAACCCAGCTCACTGTAACATTATACGAATTAAATGTCACCCCACTCGCAAAACCTTTAACCCGTTTAAGCCACAAACGGTCACAAACTCAATGAAATTGATAAATTATATAAGGAAATTAGTTTTAGTTGAAGCTTGATGTTAAAAACATAACACACACAGAAACAATACACAGACTGCGATTTGCGTTCCTGTAGGTCGGGTCGGGAATAGATATAGAGCGGACGCACACCTTTGACTTAAATATCGAACTGTGTGCGATTGTCGATTGTTTCGCAGCCAACTTAACTGCTTAGTTGCACAACTAAAAATCGAGTAGTGTGCGCACCTCGATATAAACTTATAGGATTGAAAGTGCGACTAAACAGTTGTCCGATAGTGTAGTTGTGTTGACAGGTGTGTGCGCTCTTAACATTAACAAAAAAAAATTTTCGACATTCAAACATTCCTATCCTTATCCCTAAAATGTGGACAAATCAAAATATATAATAAATATGTATATAATTATGAATAAAATAGTGCATAGTGCAGCCCAACATGCAGCCCCGCATGCAGTGCGATCTTGGCACGAACTGTAATATGCAAGTAACGAGTATCAGCGAGCTGCACATGTCTCCCCACTATTGCTCCATCCATGTCTTCTAGGAACCTTCTTTCCGCTAACGTCTCTTCTAGATGTATGACGCCTATTGTGAATCTAGATGTGCTTCTAGCATGCTTTCTAAGTAGACACTAGTTATATATGATAAATGCTTAAACGCTATAAATTTGTTTCTGATGAATTGTCACTCTGATCTGCCGTGAGTATGCATTTCATGCATCTAACAATTTGGCGATTTCATCGAAAGTTGGAGAGCTTCCCGGGCGCCTGACTCCTGACTGGCGAGCGCACTAGTTACGCGCCGCTACAACCGCAAGCGCGGGGCGCCCGGCCCCGCCCGAAGCGTATTTATAGTGCGCGCGTGCACACCGATGCCGGAGCTGGCCGTCGATCGCTGCTCGTTGCTCTGATTCTTGTGCGATCTTTTTGCGCGACTAGCCCATATACCAAACATTTGCTTCATAAAGAGGGAAATTAGTAAATTCAGTGTGCGACACACTGATTTACTAATCATATTTCAAATTGCTTTAAGACACGTGTGGATATTTCCCATCCAATAAGTATATGAATTTCGCAGTTCCTTATTTGATGTACACTTAGATAGATAACTCATAATAAAGTGCATGCGGGCACCGGATTCGATGATACGATGGTGTGTGAGG